ACAGACATTGGTATCTCTTTCTCAGGGGCAATCTTAAAAAAAAAATGAAATAGTTAGTTTAAAAAATAAAAAGTGAGTTACTAATGGAGACTCAAAAATGGGTTAGTTCATCATATATAGCTTTTCGAACAAACTAGAGTCACACAAATAAAAGTAATCATATAGTACGTAATATTTGTTATACAATTGGGAGCAAGAAAACTTCAAAATGCTATTAGGAAAAATGTTATGAGTATGAAAAAGAAAAATGCTATGTGATGACGTGAAAGGAATTGCGTATAACTTTAGATCAAAACCCCATTTAAATAGAAGTCATGTTTGAAAAGAAAATTGACAGTACAAAATCCGATTTCTCACCAGCTTTAGAACAAATGACAGGTTCCTTTGCTTTACTATTATTCTATTCTAGTAAAAATAGTTTTCTTTTCATCATTTCGTTACTAGTTACTTCTTTCCTGATTTAACTTGTTACGTGAGTCGCAAGAGGTTTTGGTAACCACCAACTTACCAAGGGTCAACTGCAATCATATTTCAGGCTTTGCAGCTATTATAATTTGATAATACTCCGTTCAACATCTACACTCATCATATTCAATCATTGTTGTTCATTTATAAAAACCAGTTTTTGCATTGTGATGTTATATTACAAAATAATTAAAAATATTTTTTCATATTATTTTTCCAATAACTAAATAATTCTATAATGAAATAATTATCAAATTTCTGTTATAAATAAAATTAGTTTTGATTTCTTTTTAACAGGGTTTCATGTTTCAGGTTTGATAATATCGAAAATTCGCATAGTTAGAAGTTGCAAATTTAGCAGTTAGTTTGGATTTTTTTTTCTGTTTATTTATATGAAACCATTGAATCTGACATTATCATTGTCTTTTTACCCTTTTTCATGTGCAGAATTAGATGAATACGATGCATATTTATCACTATCGCAAGCAATAAGCAATGACGATTTGGAAGGCCTGAAAGATTCCTTGGACCAGCTACGAAACGCGGATGCATGGACATATGCCTTTGAGAAATCACTGCAAAAGGCATGTAGTTGCGGTAAACTAGGTATTGTAAAGGAGCTATTGCGCGAGTTAATGAGGCCTTACCACATGTCGAATGAGAGGCTAAAAGTGACTCTGAGTTCCGCTCTCGATATCGCTGCTGGTAACGGCAATTCTGAGATTGTTAAAGAATTGTACGATTACTATACCGAGCAGCATGTTCATTTAGGTAGATATGAGCTAGTCACACCGCTTTTGCGGGCATCAGAAGCAGGGCATAGAGACACCATTCACTACCTTTATGACAATAACAAACCACCTTTTGACGTTTTGAAGGCTAATCAAGGATATTGGGGAATATATCTCCTTCTCGATGTCATATTTTATGGATTTCTCGGTAAGCCTTTTGAGTACTTGATTTATAACGCACTTGAAGCTTTTGAGGCAATGATAACTAAAATGTGATCCGGAAATGTTAGGAATCTCAAATCGATTAGTATTAGGACTTAGGAACCTAATCTTGTATATAAGGAACATGAATGACGACGATCTATATTCATTGACAAATTTGGTTTTGAGATGATATTAATGAATACTGATAGCAATAATGTATAGCTAATTAACGTTGAGGCACTCGGCACTCCATAGTCTCCACTAACCATTTTCAGTTGGTTTTGAGATACAAAATCATGAACCTTGACGGTAATTGTGGTCAGAGCACTTTCTCCTAGCTAGGAGACTTAAGAGCATGTTTATTGGTGAACCTTCCATCAAAAAGTTTT